TCATGTAAAGTAGACTGTTTATCCAGCCATATTGAGGACAAGTGTCAAAAGGCTTTTGTTCTTGGCAAAAAGCAGATAGATGCAATATATATAGATCTAGATCTAGATCTATATAGATCTAGATCTAGATCTATATAGATCTAGATCTAGATCTATATATATGTATTGGTTTACAAACAGCCTTCAATCAATATTCCTATTTTACACAGCCTCCAATTTTTCTGTCCTTAACCAACATCTGCTCGCACATATAAATTTAGTTCTACAGTATACAAAGATCACATAAAAAAATCAAATGTTGCAAATGTTGTGTGTTTGCTGACCAGGCGTTTTTTCTCTACGCATTTCTCAGATATAGAATTTTGCTTCTCTATATCAGAAATGCTGGAAAAAGAACCCCGGTCATCTGCCTAATCAGCAAACACACAACATTTGATTCTTTATGTAATCTTTGTATACGGTAGAACTGAATTTACATGTGCTGACATTGAGTAGGCGTTGGATGGGGACAAAATAATTGGAGTCTGTGTAAAATTGGAATATTGGTTGAAGGCTCTTTCAAATCAATATTATATATTTATCATTTAAATAAGACCTTTTTTTGGTACCTAAAAAATCTGCTCTTGCACCTTTTTCTTTGATTTCTTCCTCAATCTAATAATAATGTGTTTGTGTCCTTCTCTGTGTACCAGTTGGAAAGATTTTCTTTCACTTCCTCTACTGCCAGAAAGCGAAGGGAAAATGCCGCCATTAAAGACACATACAACAATAAAAACATGGCAGTATTTTCCACGTTATCCAAAAATAAACGTTTTGGCTTGATTTAAGTAAGCTAGAGCAGAGAATAAATATTGCCTATACAGTATAATACATTTTGCATGTCTATATCTAGAGAAAGTGTTTTTTCCATCAAGTTATTAAAACTGAAAGTGAAGGCAATCTTCCCTATGTAATGAATCCCTTAACAGGGTTTCTTGCGGAATTCAGTGATCGGCTTAGCCTCTGGAATAGCAGCACTTGAGAGCACAGTACTAAGAAACATACTCAGCAGGTTATTGATCCAGAGAGATATCTGATTGTCCTTTCCTGGAGTCAGGAAGTCAGTTGCGTACTTGAGAAACAAAACTGGCAGCAGCTGCTTGGAAATAATTTGGCAGAATGCCTCCATTTCATTTTGGTATATGCTGCCTGCCTGTAACGGACTGAGCAGGCACACACATCTTTTCATGCCTTTGATATACTTCAAATTCTGTAAATCTTTGCTATAAACTGGGATAACAGAAATCTGTTGTAATCAGTCCTAAATTAACCAACACAGATGTAAATAGGATATTACATCGAGCTATAAAAAAAGAACACTGCACCTACTGTTGTTGGAATAAGTAAGAGGTTAAAAAGCCATTCAGCTTTGCTTATTTGTTAAATATATTGTTAATTTGTTAAAATAAATAAAATTGTATACAAGTCCTTAAACATTTTAATTGAATTGATATATTCATCCGGCTAGCCATCTTAGTTGATTCTAGGGCTAAGCGTTATATCGTTTGACAATTTATCCAGATATAGTAGAGAAATAGGTGCATTTTAAATATTTCTATAATTTTTTATAGCCAAACAACTAGATGAGAAGTAATAAAAAGAAAAGCTTTTGTTTATTGCGTCTGCTAAAATGTATAACAACAAAATGCACAAAATCTGAATAAAAGTATCAGCCTTAATACTCATCTTTATTTATTTTCTTTGGTGACTTTTATAACTTATATTTATAAATTGTTGGCATATCAGTCGGAAGATTGCTAACAATGGGTGAAATTGATGACAATATCCTCTGAACTACCCAAAAAATGGGTTCTAAAATCCTGATTATATTTGAAAAATCAATATGTATATTAAAGCTATTAAAGACTACCCAAATGCCCCTTACTTACTCACCTAAATCTTTGGTCACATGATAATCCAGTCCCCCGTCTTCTGTGTGCAGGGGGTGGGGTCCTTCTTCGGGTGTCCATATCTTTGCCAGGATGATGTGGACACTACCTATTGGCTGTCTAGTGTCAGAGTTTATTCCAGATGGAATACTGCAGTAATGGGAAGTGAGGGGACCGGTGCGTCAGCACTGGATTATCCTTTCACCAGTTGTATAATACTAAGCTTCACAAGGTATTAAAAAAAAACACTGGATCACTAAGAGGGAGGTTGGGAGGGAGTATAGGTTTTGCCTGGAGATGGATTTTAAAGGATACCTGTCCTTAGAGAAGTATAGAGGCAGCCACTGCTAACTCATTCTGCAAATGCTAATTGCGTGGCTGTCCTGTTGTCCTGCTGTCCTCTTCTTTCAATACTTTAGAGTCAATGAACCAGAAAAAGTATGTAGACAAAGAATTTTGCTTTCATTCTGACTTTCCTGACCTGCATTTTAGCTTCATGCCAGTGATTGAGAAAGTACTAAAACCAGTGGGTCCGTATAAGAGCCAAGCAACAAGCATTTTCAGAAGGAAGTTGGCAATAGCAGACCCCCTAAGCATTTATTTGTATCTTTATGCTAACAAACAGCACAAGATCGACATCTTTTATTCAGATGTAACTAACTAGCGAATATATCTCTGTATTTCCCTTTAGGTTCACAGAAGACTTTTGTAGGAGTACAAAGCCAATATCCATTAACCAAGCAAAATCATGAATATTTAAAATGAGTTGCTTATAAAACTTTAATGTTCTAAATCTGCCATAACTGCAATGTTTCAAAGTTGCATTAAACAAAAATACTGGCACTCTGTAAAATAAGATGAATAAAAGTTTTGGCTTGATTAAAGTAAGCTAGAGCAGAGAATAAATATTGCCTATATAAGCATAATACATTTTGCACTGCCACTAGTATGCAACATTCACCTGATCTCCCACTGTACGCTATGTTTTCTCTCATAAGCTGCTTCATTACTACAGTACAGTGTCATGAAGTGATGTAGAAGGAACCAGTGCGCAGTGGAGGACCAAAATATGCAACACACCCAGAAGTGTCATATATCAGAAGCTGTAGCACTGCAAGAGAGGGAATACTGGACTCACAGACTGTTAGAAAGATCAGAGTTAATCATCTTATTTTACAGTGTGTCTGTATTTTAACTATTTTAGCAACAAGGTCATTTTATATTTCAAAGCAAATCATATATGTTGCTCCCTGAACGTTACATATACACTGAGTGGCCAGATTATTATGACCACCCCATCAGTTGGGCCATGAGATGACTCCACGAGATGACTTTGTTGGCCCGCCTCGTGACTCCGCGAGATGTTGAAAGGTGATGCGAGGAATCTGACACTGCACTGTTGCCCTTCTGTTGTCTTGTACCAGTCTTGCCACTCTCCGTTCTGCCCTAACATTGACTAGTCGCTGATGGCCACAATTCACACGTTCAGACCCAGATTTTCGGCTGACAGTCCAGTCTTTAAACACTTTAACAACAGCTGCTCTTGAACATTCAACAAATTCTGCTGTTTTGCTGATACTCGCTCCATGGCTCCGAGTGCCAACAATCATCCCACGTTCAAAGGCTGTTAAATCGCATTGTTTACCAATATCTTCAGAAAAAAAATCACTTCTACTGTTGTGGTAAACAACCTGCTTTCCTATTTATTATGGTCTGGCCCTCTAGAAACTTCAGCGCCAAATTATAGCTAATTTGCCTACAAATGTCAGGTGGTCATAATAATCTGGCCGCTCAGTGTATATGGAACAGTAACAGGTCTTTTTCACAGTTATATGTGACCAACAGGCAACATACAAGCCATATACTGGTTGGTTTTTGCTGCAATGGGCTTGATGGTGATCCCATGGGTGACAGAAATTGTAAGAAGTGTGTTTGATCACAGATATGGGTCTACTGAAGTGACACTACATGGTTGTTGCATCGGGCAAGCTGGCTCCATATGAGAAAAGAGAGCATTGCCTGGGGGGAAAAAAAGCACAGTGGTGTGCCCTTAAAAACATGCAAAAGGATCTGCTATGAAGTTATGTAACACTTACCTAGCAAGGATTGGGAAAGGCCTTGTGGGGTGTGAAATCTATTAGATGTTGATTAAAGGCAAGTGAGGTTAGCAATTTA